TTTAAAAGAAAACCTATTTATTTGAAAAGACTATGTTTATATTTATAAAAAAAAGTTTATAAATAAGTCAGTATATTTACCTATATGATATAATAAAAAAAATAATATGCATATTATAGTATTAACAATATAATTAAATAAATAAATTTGTAATACAATTAATATTTTTTACATTTTTGTTACATTTAAATGTTTTACATTTCTTATTTCAAATCAAGAAATAGAAAATAGAAAATTAAGCATATGTCTTTTCCTTCATCTTTGTGGTTAGTTGTGTAACATTCCAAAAAAAAAATTTTATTTTTATGTATTTTTATACGAATTTTGTACTGTTGACTCTTGCAGTCAGGAGGCTATGCAAAGAATGGAGATGCAGTTTGAAGAGAAATTGAAGAACATTCGAGAAGAGTTTGAACAGAAGTTTAAACTTTTGGCTCGTTCTCAACAACAGACTGCAGTTGCTCATGATGGTGTTCGAGTAAGCACTAAAGGGAGTTGTGCTGCTCCAGATCCCTCAGGGGAACAGACTCACACTGATGTACCAAACCAGTGTGAGTTATATGTTGAGGATGACCCCCCACGGTTAGTGGCTATTGGCCGAGTATTTGAGGATGGCTCAACCATTCATGGTGTCCCTATACAGCCAGACTAGACACGGGTTGTGGTTGACCAAGTTCAAGATGTTGCTGCTCCAGTGCCTTTGCCCAATACAGAGGTTCAACTAGTGGGGCAGGCAACTGACACATTCTTAGCTTGGCCAAAACGTTTGGTGATGCGGCTTTCAGCACGGACAAAGGTAATTCTATTATTGCTCTTTTATATTCTTATAATTCTATTATTGTTTAACTAATTTTGATTATTTCTTTAGGATTTTATCAATCGTGGTAAGAAGGTCATGAGAGAACCTCATGTTGATCATGCTAATATCGCAGAAGCTGAAGATGATCCCATATCTAGGCTTCTAACCATATTACCACGATTAAAGAAGAAACCAATTCAATTGCAGTGGGACATTAGAGTTTTTGGAGTTGATAGCTCTGATGTTCCACTATACATATCTCTGCCTGATGCATTAGAGATTGTTGGGGGAAACTCCATGTTAAATATATCTATCATA